AGGATAGTGACCCCTCCCGAATGATGAATGTATGTTGCTTACCATTTTAGTATTTGTCTCTATTTTGTTGTCTGTATCCCCCCCCCTCCCTAGTTTATGTGAGCCGCCCTGAGTCCCCTCAGGGAAAAGGGCGGCCTACAAATTCCTATAAACTATAAACTATAAACTAAGTAGGAGGGGAGTGTTAGAGGGAGGAAAGGAAAGTTGGAGGGGGTAGATGGGGTGTATGGAGGATGGAAGTGTCAGGTGGGGTTGTGAATGATGAGTTGTGTTTTCTTTTTTATTTTGTTTTATTTATTTATTTTCATTTTTTATTTTCTTATAGCAAATACCCTGTATATAAGTGATTGTAAAATGGAATGTGAAAATGAATAAAATATATATATATAAAAAAAAGATTGCAAAACACATTACAGAGATCAGGTGTGATTACAGCTCACTATTTCTACTAATTTTTATATATTGGCCTTACTTCTATGTATACATTCACTTTGGTTCAACAATAAAAATATTATTGTACAGTATTACCATCATTCTAGAAATGCAATTATATATCTCCTTTGCAAATAAAATACAAAGACCTTGAAAACCAATAGGAGGCAGCAGTGTCTGCATTTTCTAATTAGGATTTTTCCAGTAAACCCTTGCATGGTTTATAGTGGACTTCCAACCAGAGATGTTTTGGATTTCAAATACAACCTTCAAAGTGGTTGACGGTGAGGTTGATGTGGATATTAGCAAAACATCTAGAAGGACTCATATTGGGAAGGCTGGTATACAAGTATATCAAGAATTTGAAGGAACTCTAAAATCTAAATACTGAAAGAAAAAAAAAGAATATGTGCTTCTACTTTACTAAGGATGCCCCATGCCACACTAAGGTCTTCAGCATCCTGCTAAAGACCAAAGGTCAATTGTTACCTAACTGATAATTCCAGAAAAATACTTTAATTTGAATACAATCATAAAGGAAAGTTAATCTTGATGTAACTAACAGGTAGTATTGTATCTAACCGTTACAACAATCTTTTGCATTAAGGTGGTTCCAGATTAGATCCCTTGCATTTCTGATTAAAATATCAATTATCAAGTTTTGAAAAATACCCGTGATAGCACTTTAGAATTTTAGCACATTTCTATGGCTTGTTTCTGATTCAAGCCACAAAATAAACAACCGACTGCACAGACATATTTTTAAAATAGTTTTATTTCTGCCTTTAAAATATACATAATCAGTTTGTAAATCTCAAAACAAAATACCCCCCCCCCAAAAAAAAACCCCAAAATAAAACACACACACCACCACCAAAACATTTTAGTTGTAGATTAACAGTCTTGAGTTGGGACTCTAAAGGGTGGGATCAGCTAAATGAGAGTCAATTCAAGTTCTCCAACAAAATACTGTCAGAGGTGAAGGGCAAAGAAGCCAGATTGCACAAGGACAGTAAATTCACTTGATAAATTATACTATTCATTTATAATAATAATAAAAAAATATTTTTTTCTGGCTTTCTTCCCCCAGCCTTTAGCCCATTAAGTTATTACCTACAGGGCTACCCGAGTGCTTGGGCGGCATGTCAACAGCACTTCGAAGGTCACTTATAGAAGGAGTTCGCTTAAGGGGTTAAATGGGTACCCATAACCTCTGCAGGACTTTAAATTATCCATTTTTGGCCCTTAAACTACATCCAGCTTTTTTTTAATGTAAAAAGTCCAAAATTTTAGATCCCACCAACTTGGGAGGGCTGTAAGGGCCAAAAGCGAGATGGTAGCGACCCTGAGCTGAATTTTATGGGTCCCCACTTTAGCTCAATGTACCTACTTAGAGAAGAAAAAAAATATTTAGATAATCTTGTCATCAGCTACACTGATAACGTTATCAGCTTCGGAATGTTTTATGCAACCCAACACAGAAAGGAGAACTGGATCTGGATTTAATATAAAATGGTCTTGAATCAATTCTATTGACCCAATTAGCTCATTAGAACTATTTCATTTCAACTAGATAAGATTCAACCAATACTGGCTTAAATAAAAGGTCACCAAGCTGCCCTATCTCCATCAGTAACTGGATTAAAAGTCTAAAGGAGGACTGGAACAGAAAAAATAGTGACCTTTGTCCTCTTCCATGTAGTGCAGAGAAAATTCAAGGAATTCACAAGCTAAATCAAGAGAAGTAAGTAAGTAAATATCAACTGAAGAAATCAGACCACTAAATATTATGTAAGCTAAAGGAATAATATCTTTAGCACCAGTTTATTAGCAAAAAATACTGTGTTACATCTCACTAATACAATGCAGTAGCTAGCAGCTTAACTAAAGGAATGGTCCATTAGTAAGAATTTAAACACGACCATATCCAAAAGGTCAAGTATGACCAGATTGCTGTATTTGAAAAGAAAAGCCGTAATATTCTCTAACAGAAAATTACCAAAATCTCATTCAAACAAGTAACTGGCAAAAACAATTAAACAAAGTAGCCAAGAAGTTTCTCTGGTTGCATGAATAGCAGGGCAGGTTAATGAATTCAAATATGGAACTTTGATTCTTTAATGAAAATTTTTTAACACTATGAAATTAGTCCCTCCACTCAAATGCGCAAATAACACACAAAAACAGCCAGAAAAGAACAAAATACTGAATACAAGTAGGAAACCAAAAAGGGGGAAAGGGAATAAAAGACCTTGGGTAAGGCCTTGGAAAGGCACTAGTGTCAATTTGGACCCCATATTGGGATGCCCATCCTCATCAGCCATCTCCAAGCGGGCAAACAAGAAATATCTAATTTTGTGCCAAGAAGAGTCGTCAAGAGGCAAGCTGGCTGTATGGTTTAGTCTTGGATCAATGTGAATCTTTTCCTCAGCTAGTGAAATTTATGGACCAGACATAAGATGACTCAAGATAAAAAAGCTGAGATATCTCTTCTATAGCATATACCACCCCATCCCACAACACCTTTCTGCTCACCCAAAAATGGAGAGATACGTAAATATTAATAGTTGAAGACCTGAAGCAGCATTCCTCAATTTGGCATTTCCCCCCCTCCCTCAGAAGTGTTGTAACCACACAGCCCTATACAGTCACACTTGTTGGGAATTTTAGCCCCTACACATCTAAAGAATAAGAGTGAGGAAGACTAATCCAAAGGAAAACATAGATAGTACACGATCACCAAATCATGATCCAGAGTATCCAAGTGATAGCTAAACAGACAGCTACACAGACTCAGCTCATTATGGCAAACAATTTAGCTCAAGTTGGGAAACTATGGCAGGGAGTCTGAGATGTAGTTTGGCAGAAAACCCCAACTTCCATAATGTGGAGCCCCACTCCCCATATGCAACATGCAAAGAAACAGTAGAAGTGATTCCTATGCCTCATCTGCCTTGTTGACCAATGCATATAGCCACAGGAAGGCTTGGAGAAACAAACATGAACTCACCAAAATATTACAGAATTCACCAAAAGCTTACAGAACTGAGGATGTTCATTCAGAGAAGGCTTCTCACTTCATTCATGTTCTTCATCTGATGGCTTGGTGGGAGATTGAGGCAAGAAAATAGGGACTAAATATTCCTATCTCGTGCCACAAGCCAAAAAGGTAGAAATATAGGCTTCAGGTGTCTCAGGACTTAATTTGAATCAATTGGAACTGATCAGTAAGTGTGAAGGCAGAATTTTTGAAGAAAAGAAATGAAGTCAGGTGGAATCCCTCACTGAGCGTTTTGAGAAAGGACGCATGGAGGGGAGATAGAAAGCATACCTTTGTTTCAACTACTCCATTGTTCTTTACCTTAAGAGGGAAGGTGTGTCAGGTAATTAACACCAGATTCAATTTCATACAATTAGAGGTCTTGTGTAGATCTAAAATTGTGCTGGTTTTCCAATCATATATATTATTATACTTGGACTCAGTGTAACTATTTTCTAGATCTTGGCCT